CACTGCCCCACAGTGGACTTTGGATGATAATGATGTATCGATGTCAATTCACCAATTGTAAATATGAACTGCTCTGGTGCAGGATGCCAGTAGTTGGGGACGTTGCGGGTATGTGGGGACAGCAGGTGTATGAGAAGTCTCTATATCATTTTTGTGTCAATTTTGCTGTGAACCTAAAGCTGCTCTAAAAATAAAGCTGGCCAGGTCCTACGGCTGGCACTACCATACAGCACTTTGTGGGGCCAAGGAGGGAGGAGTGCTTGAGGCCAGGAGTTCAAGACCAGCCTGAGCAGCATAGCAAGACCACGTCTCTGCAGGGGGAAAAAAACTACCAGGTCTGGTGGCTCATGCATATAGACCCAGCTACTCAGGAGGCTAAGGCAGGAGAATTGCTTGAGCTCAAGAGTTTGAGGCTGCAGTGAGCCACGAACATACCACTGCACTCCCACCTGGGCAATAGAGCAAGACTCTGTCTCAAAAAAATAAAATTAAAATAAAGCTTATGAATTTTTTAAAAAAGAAAGAAAAGAAGCCGGGTGCAGTGGCTCACCCTGTAATCCCAGCACTTTGGGAGGCTGAGATGGGCGGATCACGAGGTCAAGAGATTGAGACCATTCTGGCCAACTTGGTAAAACCCCATCTCCATTGAAAATACAAAAAAAAAAAAAAAATTAGCCGGGTATGGTGCCGCGTGCCTGTAGTCACAGCTACTTGGGAGGCTGAGGCAGGAGAGTCGCTTGAACCTGGGAGTGCAGAGGTTGCAGTGAGCCAGGATGGCACCACTGTACTCCAGCCTGGGTGACAGAGCAAGACTCCATCTCAAAAAAAAAAAAAGAAAGAAAGAAAGGAAACATACCAATTGTAGGTATGTCCTTCCTTGAACAGTCTCAGGTTTCTAATCTAATAACAAAACTTTCTATCATTAGTGTTGGAAAAGTATGCCCACAGGATCCCTTCCGGCTCTGAGAAAATTCAAAAGCTGATCAGGTTGGGCGCGGTGGCTCAGGCCTGTAATCCCAGCACTTTGGGAGGCCGAGGCCGGTGGATCACTTGAGGTCAGGCGCTCAAGACCAGCCTGGCCAACATGGTGAAACCCCATTTCTACTAAAAATACAAAAATTAGCCAGGCATGGTGGTAGTCTCCTGTCATCCCAGCTACTCGGGAGGCTGAGGCAGGGGAATCACTTGAACCCAGGAGGCAGAGGTTGCAGTGAGCCGAGATCACACCACTGCGCTCCGGCCTGGGCGACGGAGCAAGACTGTCTCAAAAAACAAACACACAAAGCGGATCCAATCTGCAGAAGTTTGCAGCTGTCTGACACTCACACATTCTCCACGAAAGGCCTACAGGTACAGCACCGAGTCCCAGGCCCACACAGGAAGCGAGAAGCCCTCCCGACTCCCTTGGCCCAGAACAGGCCGGCCTGCCCCCGCACATTCTCTGCCAGGCAGCCTGACACAGCAGTTAAGGCCCAGGCTTTGAAGTCAGACTGTCTGGGGTCAGATCCAGGTCTTGTGTTTACTGGCTGTGCGGCCTTACTCACTGCTGGAACCTTGATTTTCTCATCTATAAAACGGGACGAATAATAGCGTCTTCACGAGCTATTAGGAGACTTAAAGGACCATGCACACAGAGCACTTTCGTAAACACTCCCCACATCCTGGCTGTCCGCCTCCCTCCTGCAGGCTCCAGGCTCACTTGCCACGGTCACACGTAGGCACCTGGGCACCAGCGCTCGGCTCCTCCGTGGGGACCCCTGTGGGCAGGCAAACGCCAAGCTAGAGAACAGGGCAGAGGGGCCGGGCGCTGAGAATCAGACCTGTAATCCCAGCACTTTGGGAGGCCGAAGTGGGTGGATCGCCTGAGGTCAGGAGTTTGAGACCAGCCTGGCCAGCATAGTGAAACCCCATCTCTACCAAAAATGCAAAAATTAGCTGGGTGTGATGGTGGGCACCTGTAATTCCAGCTACTCGAGAGGTTGAGCCCAAGAGGTGGAGGTTGCAGTGAGCAAAGATCAAGCTATTGCACTCCAGCCTGGGCAACAGAGCAAGTCTCCATTTAAAAAAAAAAAAAAAAATGGGGAAGAATGATTCCAGTATTCCCCCCAAAACACCTCTCTTGGTAGGGCCCAAGCCCCAGCCTCAGCCAAAGTCCATCCTTTCATGAGCCAACATCCAATAACTCTGCAACTAAACAACTCATTCTACTCTTCACAGACACTAACACAAGCTGCTCAGGTCTGGAACAGATCTCTCTTCCAGCGTATTTGTTTCTTAAGCTCTATTCTGTAAAGGAAGAGTCAGCAAACTCTTCTGTAAAGGGCCAGATAGTACGTGTTTGATGTTTTAGGTAAGTTTTTTATATTTCAGGCTTTACAAACTATTTGGTATCTGTTGAAAGTATTCATTTCTGCATTGTAGCAGAAATGCAACCATAGGCAATATGTAAATACATGACTACAGGTATGTTTCACTAGAAGTGTATTTACAAAAACAGGTGGCATGACCGGACACAGTGGGTCATGCCTGTGATCCCAGCAGTTTGGGAGGCCAAGGTGGGTGGATCACTTGAGTCAGGAGTTCAAGACCAGTCTGTTCAACATGGTGTAACCCTGTCTCTACTTAAAAAAAAAAAAAAAAAAAAAAAAAAATTAGCCTAGCATGGTGGCAGACACCTGTAATCCTAGCTACTTGGGGAGGCTGAAGCAGGAGAACTGCTTGAACCTGGGAGGCAGAGGTTGCAGTGAGCCAAGATCACACCACTGCACTCCGGCCTGGGCAACAGAGTGAGACTCCATCCAAAAACTACCCATAAATTTTATTTACAAAAACCGGTGGCATGGCCGGTGCGGTGGCTCACACTTGTAATCCCAGCACTTTGGAAGGCCGAGGTGGGTAGGTTACTTGAGGTCAGGAGTTCAAGACCACCCTTGCCAACATGGTGAAACCCTGTCTCTACTTAAAAAAAAGACAAAAATTAGACTGGATGTGGTACTGGGCACCTGTAATCTCAGCAACTCCAGAGGCTGAGGCAGGAGAATCGCTTGAACCTGGGAGGCAGAGGTTGCAGTGAGCCAAGATGGCGCCACTGCTGTCCATCCTGGGAGACAGAGTTAGACTCTGTCTCAAAAAATCAAAACATAACAAAACAAAAAAAAGCAGGTGGAGGCCAGGGTGGGTCCATGGACCGTACTTTGCTGACTGTAGAAGGTGTATGCCTGAAGGGGTGCTCTCACCCCGGGTAACAACTGAAGAGTAGCTAGAGGCTCCTAGCCATATGGAATAGTGCACACACACACATACATGCACACGTGCACCTGTATGCATGCACACAGCCACACACGCCCCCACGTGTGCACGCACACATACATGCACACATGTGCACATATATGCATGCACACAGCCACACTTGCCCCATGTGTGCACACACATACATGCACACATATGCACACATATGCATGCATACAGCCACACATGCCCCCACGTGTGCACGCACACATACATGCACACATGTGCACATATATGCATGCACACACACATGCACACATGTGCACATGTATGCATGCACAGCCACACACATACATGCACACATGTGCACAAATATGCATGCACACCGCCACACACGCCCCCACGTGTGCACACGCACACATGCACACATGTGCACATATATGCATGCACACAGCCACACACCCCACGCGTGCACGCACACATACATGCACACATGTGCACATATATGCATGCACACAGCCACACACTCCACGTGTGTGCACACACATACATGCACACATGTGCACATATGCATGCACGCAGCCACACACGCCCCCACGTGTGCGCACACACACATACATGCACACACGTGCACCTGTATGCGTGCACACAGCCACACACACCCCATGTGCGCACACACACATACATGCACACGTGCACATATATGCATGCACACAGCCACACACTCCACGTGTGTGCACACACATACATGCACACATGTGCACATATGCATGCACGCAGCCACACACGCCCCCACGTGTGCGCACACACACATACATGCACACACGTGCACCTGTATGCGTGCACACAGCCACACACACCCCATGTGCGCACACACACATACATGCACACATGTGCACATATATGCATGCACACAGCCACATATGCCCCCACGTGTGCACACACACATGCACAAGCAGCCAGTGAGCTATGCCAGCCCGTTACCCAGCACAAACTTCAGCCTTGACACCATATATATGTATGCGTATACATTTATTTGAGGATGCCATTATGGATGGAGGGGAAGCAGGCGCCATTGTGGGAGCGCAGGATTGGGAGGCCCTGCAAATGGAAGATCTGGAAGATCTTTCCAACGTTCTTACCAGGTACCTTTGGGATGTGGTTCTATACTTTTACCTGAACAGCAATAGAGCTACTATTTTTGAGGCTGTGATTCATCATCCAGAAGGATGAAGAAGGCACCCCTGCAGCAGCCTGATTCTGCCAGAGCTGGGAGTGGGACCTGCCTCCCCTGCCTTCCTGGGGAGTAAACAACATCACCCCCCCAGGCCACCCTGGGCAGGTAGGAAAGCAAGCACGCTACAGAAAGGAAGGGCTTCTGCGTTTTCCAGCAAAGGAAGGTTTTTGTTCCCAAAGGTGTTTTCCTGGGTTTCATTTACTTTTGCTCCTGGTAAAATAAAATCAAAGAAGGTTGGGTGTAGTGGTGCACGCCTGTAATCCCAGCCCTTTGGGAGGCCGAGGCGGGCAGCTCACCTGAGGCCAGGAGTTCCAGACCAGCCTGGCCAACATGGTGAAACTCCGTTTATACCAAAAATACAAAAATTAGCTGGGCTTGGTGGTGCATGCCTGTAGTGCCAGCTACTTGGGAGGCTGAGGCAGGAGAATCACCTGAACCCAGAGACAGAAGTTGCGGTGAGCCAAGATCGTGCCACTGCACTTCAGCCTGGGAGACAAAAGTGAAACTCTGTCTCAAAAAAAAAGAAAAGAAAAGAAAAGAAAAGAAAAGAAAACAAGGGTGTAACATGTCCCGGGAGAGACTGACAGTCCACACTGTTGAATAAAGTGAGTAAGAACTCAAAAGCCTGTTCGGAGGTTCACCTGGGGACAGTGGCGGTTGGATGGATGTCACTCCTCGTGCTTCCAACAATGCTTCCCACACTTGTCCAGTGCAGACTTGGGAACATGCTGAGCAGGCCCAGACCAGGCCATGCTGCTGACCGAGCACTGGAGTCGCCCTAGCAGCCCCCTGAGGCAGTGGGGGACCCAGCGTTTATGGTGCTTTCTGCGTGAGGTCCTCACTTCTCCCCGGAAGCGGCTGGATTCTTGAAGACCTCAGCATCTTCCGGCTTAAGGGACCCTGAAAACTGTTGAAGATGAACCTCCTCGGGCTGAGCGGAGTGCCTGTCTCGAGCACTTGCCTCTCTTAAAAGGGGAACCAGGGCAAAGTTCTTCCAGTGTCTGCCTGAAACTGAAGGGTAAAACACAATTACTACCTTGGATGCAGCAAAACAAACACTTGCCTCTTGGCCTCACAAATCCCCGGATAAAAGGAGGCCCAGGCATGCAAGGGCTCCCTGCGGCAGCTGGATTGTGCCATGTCCTCTTCCCGCAACTGCTCAGAGAGCCTCGTGTACTCTGGTGGCTCCTTCACTTCTCTTCCTCTACCCCACCCCGACTTTTTTGCGGACTCAAGGGAGCCCATCGCCTGCCCCTCTTGGCCTCCATTTCCTCCCTGCCCAAGTGGGAGGGAGAGGAGGTCTCCAAAGTGCCACACTGAGGCCTGCCCCATGAGTGCTTCAACACCGGGGCAGCTCTGGCTGATGAGCACTACCCAGGAAGCTGGATTCCCGGTCCAGGCCCGCTGCATTCCAGCCTGGGCACGGAACAAGCCTCCGTCTCAAAAAAAAAAAAAAAGAAAGAAAGAAAAGAAAAACAGCTGGGCACGGTGACTCATGCCTGTCATCCCAGCACTTTGGGAGGCCGAGGTGGGCGGATCACCTGAGGTCGGGAGTTCAAGACCAGTCTGACCAACATGGAGAAACTCCGTCTCTACTGAAAATATAAAATTAGCTGGGTGTGGTGGCCCATGCCTGTAATCCCAGCTACTCAGGAGGCCGAGGCAGGACAATCACTTAAACCCGGGAGGCAGAGCTTTCGGTGAGCCAAGATGGCACCGTTGCACTCCAGCCTGGGCAACAAGAGCAAAACTCTGTCTCAAAAAAAAAAAAAAAAGAAAGAAAGAAAAAAGAAATGATAAATGTGAAGTTAGGCAACCTCCAACCATCCCCCATCCCTGCCCCAATTAACATGTCCATCCCTGTCACTGGGTCGATGTGTCTATAAATATCACAGTGTCTGTGCAACGTTGTAAACTGTCAACGATGTCACGCAAACATGATGCAACTCAATTGCAAAGTAAAACAGCGAATCCGTCAAAGATGCGGGATTTCACTAAATCAACAAGAGTGACACTGAAGAACCGCTCAAATCACACGCAAAGCTGCCTTTCGGTAGCTCTCTGACAAAGTCAGACCAGTTAACAGCTGACCAAGAGACTATCAATAAGCATGGTTGTGTGACACGCGGAGAACTTCAGACTGAACTCAGGAAAATCACACGACTGCAGGAGGCCTGTGGAAAAACCGATGGGCCTCCAGCAATTTTCTAAAAATGAGCCTTTGAGAAAATGGATTTTCCCTTCCAGCTATAATGGAGTATCTAGCACTGTGCTAGCCATCCTGCTGGCAGCAGTCACAGAACTAGGCAACCTACACACAGCAGATGTTTCTCAGGGATAGGACATTAGGCAGCGGAAAACGGCAATCCCACAAACAACACAAACCTACTGCATGGTGGCTCACGCCTGGAATCCCAGCACTGTGGAGGCTGAGGCGGGAGGATCCCGAGGTCAGGAGATCGAGACCAGCCTGGCCAATATGGCGAAACCCCGTCTCTACTAAAAACACAAAAATTAGCCGGGTGTGGAGGCGTGCACCTATAATCCTAGCTACTCAGGAGGCTGAGGCAGAAGAATCACTTGAACCCGGGAGGTGGAGGTTGCTGTGAGCCAAGATCATGCCACTGCACTCCAGCCTGGGCAACAGAGACAGATTCTGTCTCAAAAACAAACAAACAAACAAACAAAAAAAACCAAACAAAAAACAACTTAGCAGCTAAAGATTTTTAAAAATTTAAAATTTAAAAAGGCCAGGCACAGTGGCTCACACCTATAATCCTAGCCCTTGGGTGACCAAGGTGGGTGGATTACCTGAGGTCAGGAGTTCAAGACCAGCCTGGGCAACATGGTGAAAGCCCGTCTCTACTTAAAAAAATACAAAAATCAGCAGGTGTGGTGGCGGGCGCCTATAATCCAAGCTACTCCAGAAGCTGAGGCAAGACAATTGCTTGAACCTGGGAGGCGGAGGTTGCAGTGAGCCCAGATTGTGCCACTGTACTCTAGCCTAGGCGACAGAGTGAGACTTCATCTCAAAAAAAAAAAAAAAAAAAAAAAGAGTTCTGGAAAGAGTGATGATAGTTGTACAATAATGTGAATGTGCTTAATGCCACTGAATTGTACACTTAAAATGATACATATTTTACCGCAATTTTTTACAATTAAATACAAAGTAATTCAAAACAAAGTGTGCAGGGTTGTCATTATAACTCAAAATGTGTCCACTATACACTAGGCCTGCTTCATTTTAAAGTAAATGTCCTCAATTAGACATTTTTAATGTTTTCTATTAAATGTTTACCAGTAACTGTTAAATGGCTTTCTTTCTGGTAGTAATTTTCCTCGGAGTTTTTATATTTTTTCTTGTTTTTGAGACAGAGTCTCATTCTGTCGCCCAGGCTGGAGTACAATGGCTCCATCTCATCTCATTGCAACCTCCGCCTCCCAGGTGCAAGCAATTCTCCTGCCTCACCCTCCCGAGTAGCTGGGATGACAGGTGCCCCCACCATGCCTGGCTATTTTTTGTATTTTTTTAGTAGTGATGGGATTTCACCATATTGGCCAGGCTGGTCTCGAACTACAGGCCTCAGGCGATCCACCCGCCTCGGCCTCCCAAAGTGCTGGGATGACAGGCGTGAGCCACCATGCCTGGCCTCCCCGGGGTTTTTCTACTAAAAGCATCCCCTTTCCTCTCTCTCCCTCCCCTCTTCTCTACCTGCCCGGATGTGTTCGTGAGTGACGTGTGTTCCTGTGTGCCTGTTTGTGTCTGCATAGCCCCACAGAGCTCTGACACAGCATGCACACATGCAGGGTGAAGATCAGAGCCAAGGAGGCAGGGCGGGGCTGGCTGCATCCCCCGGGGTGCTGGGGACAGGTGCGTGGGCTGGAGGTGCTGGCCCAGCTGCTTGCGTGGGCCCAGCGTGCCGTCAGCTGCATCAGCATGTGTGATGCACTCACGTCAGCCTGGGACTATGTGCACATGGCTGACGTCAGGGGCTGCTCAGTGCCCAGGTCCTGGGGGGTGAGGAGCCCGGCAAGGGCCTATAAGGCTCTCCCTGCCAATGTCGGGCCACCAGCTGAGGAGGTGCCAAGCACTGGCCCCACCCACCTCACCTCTGCTTGACCGCAGGGAGAAGCTCAGCGTGCGCTTCACACCCTCGCAGTTGCCCGGGTCTTCATTGATGATGCCCACGTTGGTGTTCCAGGTGGTCCAGTTCACCTCGTCCACTCTGCAGGGCGAGGGGTCGGGGCAGCCTGAGAGCTGGGCCAGCTTCCTGGTCCGAGCGCTCTGCCCACAGGCCCAGCCCAAGAAACACACACATCAGGACACAGTGGGTAGGGAGGGCAGAGGGGACTTGATTTTTGGACACCATCCCCAAAGATGTGATCTCTGACCATCCCGGAAGGCCCAGGGACTTTAAATATTGGATGGCAGGCTCTGACCCTGCTCACTAGATGACCCCTTTGGCCACCTGAAATTTTCTGGAATTTCGTGTCTGGGCCCCACCAGCTGAGATCTCAGATGGGTCCCGTGCACACCCACAGCCGAGCTCTGGACGGACCTCATCCCTACAGCTGGCCTTGGGAGAGCACCCCATGTTCATGACGGGCCCAGCAGGCCCCGAGTCAGCCTCTGTGCCCACGGGGAGCCCCGAAGCTCCCAAGCTCCGACTGGGGTGAGGCCTAGCGTTACCTGAAGCACCATCTGTAGTCGTCCTGGCCGTCAGGGGTGTACCCCACCTGCAGCAGCTTGCCAGAGCGGAAGGCCTTCCTCATGCACTTCAGGAAGCTCTTCTCCGTGTCCAGGATGGTGATGGCTCTCTGCAGGAGGACAGCAAGGGCAGAGGCTGCATCCCAGGGCCCCATGGCTGCCAGGACCCATCTCCCCTGGAGCTCTCCCAGCCCCAGATGCCTCTGGGCTGGTATCCAGTGCCCTCCATGCTGGCCTTGTTTCCGGAGCCTGGCAGGGACACACTTTATGCCGGGAGCCCAGCCTGGCCAGCCCAGACCTGCCCAGGTGCTACTGGTGCCTGCTGTGCCTACACAGGGCAGCCCAAGGCATGAAATGGAATGCCCCAGACCCCACCCTGAGGAGCAGGACCCCGGGTGAGACCGGCTGGGCCAGGTCCTGGCTCCGTCACTTACTAGCTGTGTGGCCCTGTGCACAGATACCCAGCTTTGCTACGCCTACACCTCAGTGCCTTCACTCAAAAATGGAACAGTATGGCCCAGTGCAGTGGCTCACACCTGTAATCCCAGCACTTTGGGAGGCCAAGGCGGATGGATCACCTGAGGACGGGAGTTTGAGACCCGCTTGGCCAACGTGGTAAAACCCACCTCTACTAAAAATACAAAAATTAGCTGGGCGTGGTGGCGGGCACCTGCAATCCCAGCTACTAGGAAGGCTGAGGCAGGAGAATCACTTGAACCCAAGAGGCAGAGGTTGCAGTGAGCCAAGGTCTCACCAATGCATTCCAGCCTGGGTGACAAGAGCAAAACTCTGTCTCAGAAAAAAAAAAAAAAAGGAACAGTAATAGAATCCATTTCCCAGGGCTGTTGTGAGGATTAAATGAGCTCAGGTAGGACAGACAGTACCGTCCCTACAACAGAGAAAGTGCTTCTGACTAAGAATGAAACTTATTATTAGTAGCTGGGGTTGCGGATGTCGGCGACGGGGCTCAGAAAAGTAGCCGGCAGCCCTGCCCTGTGCCGGCTGCTCCCCTGAGTCTGGCCTCTGGTGCCCTCCTTATACCAGGCTCCTCTGAGGCGGACACCTGTGGGCTGAGCCCTCTTCCTCCTTCCCTCCAGGACCACCCAGGCCAGAGCCAAGCATGCGGTCTAGAAACACCAGCTGAGCTCATCTGCCCTGAGCAAATGCTGGCCAGGGGAGCGTGCTGGGAGTCTGCGGAGGGAGGTGCTGAGGCTGCATCCTCGGGCCTGGCCGGGCTTCCTGCAGGCCTCATGTGCCCAGCTGTGTAAGGCAGTGGACAGAGCACCCGCCCCCGCCACCCCCCCACCCACCTGCAGCTTCCAGATGTTCTTGCTCTCCTGTGCGATCTTGTTGACCGTCTCACCCATGAGGGCGATCAGCATGTTGAGCAGGAGGATGTAGGTGAGGATGACGTACGCCAGCAGCAGGATGATGAACACAGCCTTGAAGTCATAGTTCTCGGTGAACTCCAGGTCGCCCATGCCGATGGTGAACTTGAACAGCTCCAGGCACGTGGAGTACAGGCTGTTGTAGGAGTTATCGGGGGGCCTGCAGCCAGGCCCCCGCCACCTGTGCGACGTGGACTCGGTCGGCAGAGACTTGTTCTTCCCATCTTCAATCAGCGTCACCACCGCTACAGGGCATGGGGAGGGTGGGGTGCTGTTGGATAGAAGCCAATACCCCAAGTCCCCTGACACACACCCTCCTGCTCAGCCATGTGGCACCTTTGTGAGAAGTTATTTTTAAGGCACTTCTTCTCTAAAACTATCAAAATAATTTTTACAATATATTGTTTTATGAACGTTATCATCATCTATTAGAAAAATACAGATATACACATATAAATCTACACGTGCAATGTGCATATAGCCACCACCTTTGTGCAGTGCACAACCTGCTTAACCGTACCTGTCAGCTCTGGCTCCATACCTGCTTTGTCTGTCACACCCTGTCTGCCTGCATCCCTTAGAGGTCCATTATGCAACCCTGAGCACTGAGGAGCTCAGAGCAGACTGGCCTCTTCCAACATTCTGCATGTTTCTTTGGGAAGTAGGGCACAGAGCCTGAGCGCTTCCACAGCACTTCTGCGTCCCAGTACCCACTAACCCCCACTGGCCCAGTCAGTCCCTTCTGTACCTACTGAAATGCAGGGCCTTCAGATCCAGCCGCCCATCCCTCCCAGCCAGAGATTCTAACGCAAACTGCAGGGTGGGGACAGGGAGGGCGCACCCTGTGAACCATGTAACTCTGGGACTTCGATGAGCATCAAAGCAGACTCAGGTGCTCTAACAATGATGTGGAGTCTGTGCAGTGGCCTGTCATCCCAGCCCTTTGGGTAGCTCGCACCTGTCATCCCAGCTACTCAGGAGGCAAGGCAGCAGAATCGCCAGAACCCAGGAGGCAGAGGCTGCAGTGAACTGAGATCGCTTCACTGCACTCCAGCCCGGGTGACAGGCCAAGACTCCACCTCAAAAAAAAAAAAAAAAAAAAAAAGTCATTATTTGGCCCCATGATGGGATGAAGTGATTCAGGTAAGACTCATCAATGGATGTTAACTCCTGGGTAGACACCTGGCTATTCACACGGTCTCCCAGCATCTCCCTGAAAAGTATCCATTACAAAGGTAAATATAGTAGCTTTACAGTGGAAAAGTCTGGCCGACCCACCAACACCAAGTCATCAGAGGTGAGACAGACGTCATGTGACTCCCAATAAAACGTACTGAAGGGGGCCGGGCGCGGTGGCTCATGCCAGTAACCCCAGTGCTTTGGGAGGCTGAGGCAGGTGGATCACAGAAAAAAAAAAAAGTACTGAAGAAGACACACAGCGCTTCTTGATACTGTGGCCAAAAGCGCACACCTGGCTGTAATCGTGAGGAAACCATCAGACACACCCAGATTGAGAAACACTGTGCAAAACCTCTGGCCTCTACTCATGACAAACTCTAAGGTCACAAATGACCAGGGAAGACCCAGGAACTGCCCCAGATAAAGGAGACTCACGCCTATCATCCCAGCACTTTGAGAGCCAAGGCGGGCAGATCACTTGAGGTCAGGAGCCTTAGACCAACGTGGCGAAATCCCTTCTCTGCTAAAAATACAAAAAAATCAGCCAGGGGTGGTAGCACCTGTAATCCCAGCTACTTGAGAGGCTGAAGCATGAGAATTGCCTGAATGTAAGCCAAGATGGCACCACAGCACTCCAGCCTGGGCAACAGCATGAGACTCTTGTCTCAAAAAATAATGAATTAGTTAGTCAATTAATTATTAAAGGAGACTAAAGAAGCATAAAAATGAAACGGAATGCATGATCCAGGATTCTCATTTTCTGCTAAAGATCTTAGTAGGACAATTGATGAAATTGGAACAAGGGCTGTGGGTTCTATCACAGCGTGAATCAGTGTGACCTTCCTGCCTGTGGTCCTTCAGCTGCGTTTATGTAAAATAACTTCTTTCTTTTAGGAAATACACACTGAAGTGTTTCATGGTAAAGGGCTGATCATATCTGCAACTTACTCTGAGTCTTTTTCACGTGTGGCCTCCGTGTGTGTATGTGTGGGCGCACACACGTGTGTGTGCCGGGCTGAAGAAAGTGATAACATAAAATGTGGTAATTTGGGGGAATCTGGGTGAGGAGTACAGAGAAGGTATTGGTTCTATTCTTGCAACTTTTCTGGAAGTCTGAAATAATGTCAAAATTAAAAGTTGAAAGAAACGACAGAGCCAAAATGTTATACAACAGGCAAGCACCCTTCTCGCCTGGAAAATTACTTACAACCTTTTTTTCTCAGAGACGGAGTCTCACACTATCACCCAGGCTGTGATATCGGCTCACTGCAACCTGTACCTCCCTGGTTCAAGAGATTCTCCTGCCTCAGCCTCCTGACTAGATGGGATTACAGGCATGTGCCACCACGCCCGGCTACTTTTTGTACTTTTAGTAGAGACAGGGTTTTGCCATGTGGGTCAGACTGGTCTCAAACTCCTGACCTTGTGATCTACCTGCCTTGGCCTCCCAAAGTGCTGGGATTACAGGCTTGAGCCACCACACCTGGCCTGCTTAAAATATTTTATGAATCACGTGTCCAAGTTCTGCAGCTCATTTCAGTGTGTCCTCTGCCTACCCTCTCTGTCACCACAGACATGGACCTGCCTACCCTCCTCACTCAGCTCCTGGCAGAGTCTACAGGAGGCCCAGGCAAGCAGGAGCCTCGCCCTCCCCCCAGCCCCGACCAAGCCCATTACCCGTGGAAAACCCGAACAAGAAGACGACGTAGACGAACATGAAACGGCACAGGTCTCTCAGGATCATCTGCAGGAGAGAGCGGGCTCATCAGAGCCAAGTCTAGGCCCAGGAAGAGCCGAGGGGAAGGCCGGGTCGGTCGGCCTGGGGGTGCATCTTGAGGACGCCAGGAGGGTTTGGTTTGCTGGTTCTCAGCTTGGGGGTCTTGAGGGAGCATCCACCCTTCCCCCATAGCCTTTGTTCTGGTCGGGAGATGGAGGCCTGGTATGCAGAGGGGTCAGGTTTCAGGGGACCCCACACACAAAGCCGGGTCAAGGCCAGATTGCTTGATTCTTGGAAAATGGGCTGGGAGCTAAGCCAGCCCCTTTCTGGGTAAGACAGAGAGGGTGGGTGGAGTTCATGGGACAGCGTCTCCCGCGCCCACGAGGTAAGCGGGTCCAAGGAGACCCCCTGGGGCACAGGACACCCACCTTCTCTATCATGACAGCGTAGATGCCCATCTGCTGGAAGCCGCGGGTGTAGTACAGCATGTTGGTCCAGCCCAGGGCCAGCGAGAACACCATGGAAGCCACGTACTCCTTGCGGTGGCTGAAGTACAGCACTACAGTGGCCAGCATGAGCAGGGACTGCACAAAGCTGGGTGGGGAGGGGCAGAAAGCTCCATCACAGGAACCTGGGAGGCCGGGCGTCCCCAAAACAAAAGGCCGCAGGCTGCTCAGAGGCCCAGATCGCGGGGGTTGGGGAGGGGCTGCCCTGATTCCTTCAGCCCAGGCATTCTCTCTCTTTCCTCAGGCAGTCTCACTCTGTCACCCAGGCTGGAGTGCAGTGGCGCAACCTCGGCTCACTGCAAACTCCGCCTCCTGGGTTCAAGTTATTCTCCCACCTCAGCCTCCTGAGTAGCTGGGACTACAGTCATGTGCCACCAAGTCCAGCTAATTTTTGTATTTTTAGTAGAGACGGGGTTTCACCATGTTGGCCAGGCTTGTCTTGAACTCCTGACCTCAAGTGATCAGCCCGCCTCGGCCTCCCAAAGTGCTGGGATGACAGGTGTGAGCCACTGCACCCAGCCATCCACACTGTTCTGTAAAGGTGCTTTCCCTCATCTGCCCCCTCCTAAAGCAGTGGTTCTCAACCAGGAGCGATTCCGGCACCACCCTCCAACAGGCGAGGAGCCTTTGGCCACATCTGGAGAGGTTTTTCCTTGTCAAGACTGGGGGACAGGGAAGAGCTCCAGGCATCTGTGAGTAGAGGCCGGTGATACTGCTAAACATTCTAGAAGGCACAGGGCAGCCCCCACCACCACACTAAGCATTATGCAGTCCAAAATAACAACAGTGCCAAGGTCAAGGAACCCCCACCCCGTTAAAGACAGGAAACTCCCTGAAAGCAGGGACCATGTCTGTTTCATCCAGTATTCCAAGGCCAACCTCGTGAATGGCAGCTGGGGAGTAGCAAGGTGAACAAGAGTATTCTCACTTGAACTGTAATTCACAGCACAGTCCGTTCATCCCTGGCACCTGGCACAGAGTGGCCCTCAGGATTCATTCATCCCACAAGTATCTTTTTTTTTTTTTTTTTTTTTGAGACAGAATCTTGTTCTGTTGCCAGGTGGGGGTGCCGTGAGGCAATCTCAGCTCACTTCAACCTCTGCCTCCAGGATTCAATCGATTCTCCTGCCTCCACCTCAAGAGTAGCTGGGACTACAGGTATGTGCCACCACATCTGGCTAATTTTTGTATTTTCAGTAGAGACGTTTTGTATTTTTCACCATGTTGACCAGGATAGTCTCGATCTCTTGACCTTGTGATCCGACACCCCCGCCACCTGGCCTCAGCCTCCCAAGGTGCTGGGATTACAGGCATGAATAACGCCCAGCCCACAAGTATCCACAGAGTGCCTTCCGCCATTCTTTCAACATGTTCACTGAGGTCCCACTATGCGCCAGGCCCAGCATAAATGAGAGCTCACGTGATAACTGACTGCTGTCACCTGGGACTGGACTGGAAATGAGTGCAAGTGTCACTTACAAAAGCATCTCACTGTAGCTGTCCACAAACAAGGTCTTCAGTGACGGCCGCCTCTGCAGGAAGTACTGAATCTGCAGGTAAACAGACAGAGGAAGGTCCCCAGCAATGCTTGACATGGCTAGATGGCCAGCACTCAGACACTTCCTAAATGGCGCCACGATGGGGCGGCGGAGCGTGTGAAAGCAGAGATTGTGGAAAGGGAGGAACGGCATGGATCAGGCCAATGGGGTAACACTAGGTGACCCCGTCAGTACAGATTGCTAAAAGTACACAGTGGAGCTGGGTACGGTGGCTCACGCCTGTAATCCCAACACTTTGGGAGGTTGAGGAGGGTGGATCACAAGGACAGCAGTTCGAGACCTTCATCCTGGGTAATTCGGTAAAACCCCGTCTCTACCAAAAATACAAAAAATTAGCTGGATGTGGTGGCGGGTGCCTGTAATCCCAGCTACTCGGGAGGTTGAGGCAGGAGAATCGCTTGAACCCAGGACGCGGAGGTTGCAGTGAGCCGAGATTGCACCACTGCACTCTAGCCTGGTGACAGAGCGAGACTCTGTGTCAAAAACAAAAAATACACAGAGGATTTACAAATATACCCAGAAGTGCAGACAGGAAGGAAAATCACCAAAATGTTATCAGTTGTGTACCGAATTGGGCAAATTTTTTTCTTCTTTCTAATTGGTGCTTTTTTCCTAATTTTTTTCTTTTTTCTTTTATTATTATTATTTTTTTTTTGAGACAGAGTCTTGCTCTGTTGCCAGGCTGAAGTGCAGTGATGTGATCTCGGCTTACTGCAACATTCACCTCCCAAGTTCAAGCAATTCTCCTGCCTCAGCCTCCCGAGTAGCTGGAACTACATGTGTGCACCACCACACCCGGCTAATTCTTCTATTTTTAGTACAGACAGGATTTCACCATGTTGGCCAGGATGGTCTCGATCTCTTGACCTCGTGATCCGGCTGCCTGAGCCTTCCAAAGTGCTGGGATTACAGGCAAGAACCACCACACCTGGCCTTTTCCTCATTTTTTTTTTTTTTTTTAAAGACAGGATTTCACCACGTTGGTCAGGCTGGTCTTGAACTTCCAACCTCAGGTGATCCGCCCGCCTTGGCCTCCAAAGTGCTTGGATTGCAGGTGTGAGCCACCATGCCTGGCCTTTTCCTAATTTTTTTTTAAGAGATCAGAGTCTCACTACGTTACCCAGGCTGGTCTCAAACTCCTGGCCTCAGCTGAGATTACAAGCATGAGCCACTTTTTTCTTAATTTTTTCACCCCTCAAGCATACTTTTTTTCTTAATTTTAAGTAAGCGTTAAAATAAAAATTCTTGTAAGAAGCTGCCGCTGTCAGCCAGGGGTCCTGTCCAGGACACCCCCATACTCTGCTCCCTCCCACAGGTCAACCCAGCTCTTGCCAATCCCACCACGCTTGCCACCTACTGTGGCATTGTACGTTATTGTAATGTGAACTGTGAGTGTGAAAAGAAAGACAGCTGGCTCTGTGAAGACAAAGTTCAATGACAGAACAATTCCATAAAGATGAGTGACTTAAAAAAAATGGGTATCGCTTACACCAAAAAGACTGGGGGATAAAAATCACAATGGAGCCTGGCGTGGGGCGCCTGCCTGCCCATAGTTCCAGCTACTCCAGAGGCTGAGGTGGGAGATCACTTCAGCCCGAGAGACAGAGGTTGCAGTGAGCCATGATCGTGCCACTGCACTCTAGCCTGGGTGACAGAGCGGGACCCCATCTCATAAAAAATTAAAATTAAAATGCTACAAGGGTTTCTGGAGTCAAAAAAAACCATACACACAATCATTTTTTATGCATCTACGTTTCCACTCTTCTTTAAAGAAGCTGAGACTAGAAATCTTAGATGATATAAATATGGTGTTTGCAAGAAAGGTGATGAAAAATCTAAAACGGTGGGTCCCACGTTCAAAGAAAAGATTACTCCTGCATTCCAAAAAAAAAAAAAAAAAAGCCAAGGATTCCACATTTGAATTTCCAGTTAAAAATAAAACAATTCCTTGCCAACACAGTGGCTCACATCTGTAATTCAGCATTTTGAGAGGCTGAAGTAGGTGGATCACTTGAGGAGTTCAAGACCAGCCTGGCCAACATGGTGTAACTCCATCTCTACTAAAAATACAAAAAAATTAGCAGTGTGTGGTGGCAGGTGCCTGGAATCCCAGCTACTGGGGAGGCTGGGGTAGGAGAATCGCTTGAATCCAAGAGGCAGAGATTGCGGTGAGCTGACATCACGCCACTACACTCCAGCCTGGGCAACAGGAAAAAAAGAAAAAGCAATTCCAGTCTGCATGGAGAGTTCCTTCCTTGCCCAGACCTTTCACAGACTGGTTTGATTAATTAAATAACTACCAATCATGATCCTCACTTAAGAGGCCTCCACTCTGCCTCTGTAATTAAACATTACATTCCGTGGAGAGGCCGGATTGTCTGTGTTCAAGCTTGCCTGCCTTGGGCCTGTGGAGAGGCCCTGAGCGCCCTCCCGCCCCCGCCGTGACTGCCTGAAGGGCTCTCATCTTCGGCTCTGTGTCTCTGAGCTCCCCAAGCAGGGCCGTTAGGTGTCCGATGAAGAAAAAAGTGAGTGGTCAGGGTTGCTCTTGCCTTTTTGTTTTGGTGATAATGGAAACTCATAACGTGGGAAGGAACACTTACCCCTCGGAAAAAGAAATAGACTCCTCCTAACACAGACAGAATCTCTCCAGTAACTCGGAAATAGTCTTCAGTGTTTTCCATCTTAAAGGGAGGCTGTGAGATGCAGAAAAGTTGGTCACTCCATGTAATCATTCATTCATTCAACAAACACTGCCCAGGTACCAATCCCTGGGATGAAGACATAGCTCCTGCCCAGAAGGCGCAGACTCCATCAGGGGAAGGACACGCAGAGACAGCGTGTTATTAGGGGAGAACCTGCCAGGAGGCCCTACTGTGGGCCTGATTCCCCAGAGTGGCAGCCTCTAGGTGGCAAGCACAGCATCTTACAATGCTGTGCTGTGTCCCACAGCGTCCCGGCAGGCCTGGAGCTCCTCCTGGCTGGGAGCAGGATGATGGACAGCAGGGTGATGGACAGGTGGAAGCACTCTCTCAGACCCCACGCCATACGCATCCAGCTGCCCCCCAACCCATGGCCAGCTCCTGGTCTCCCACAAGTGTCAGGAATGCCCACTGACCATGGAGGGAGGCACCATCTGCACACACTCATGGGGGTCACCCTTGCGTTTCAGTTGCGATTTCCTGGAGTGGGTCACCATCCCGATTTCATAAGCACGAGCTCACTAGCTTGCCTTATTAGCACGTTTCTCTTAAAAGGAAGTCATTATGTGGCCTTAACAGGTGGATAGAAATAGGATTTCATGCCATTATGAAGTTGAGTTTTTCAAGTAAATTTGCTGCTGGGCATGGTGGCTCACACCTGTAATCCCAGCACTTTGGGAGACTGAGGCAGGTGGATCATATGAGGTCATGAGTTCAAGACCAGCCTGGCCAACATGGTGAAACCCTGTCTCTACTAAAAATACAAAAATTAGCCAGGTGTGGTGGCAGGTACCTATAATCCCAGCTACTCAGGAGGCTGAGGCCCGAGAATCACTTGAACCCAGGAAGCAGGGGTTACAGTGAGCCGAGATCACATCACTGAACTCCAGCCTAGGGGACAGAGCGAGACTCTGTTTCCAAAAAAAAAAAAAATTTTTTTAATAAAGTAGATTTGCAAAGTGCCCTGGAAACAAAGGCAGCAAATTAAGTGACCTGGGTACGGCATGTGAAGGACTCAGTCCAGAAGTTCCGTGAATTCTTGGCTCTTAGCAGAGGCAAAAGTCTGATCTTAGGCTGATTTGATGGATGGCCCAGGCCCTGGCACGGAAGTGCTCAAAAGTCTAAATCCAGGGAATGTATAATGAGCAAGTGAGTGAATAAAAGAGGGCAGACAAGCAGGATGATGGTGGGCCCTGGGCTTACACCAGTCACATCCCTGCAGACCCCCAGGCCAGGGGTGAGCCGTGTCCCAAGCCCGAATTCCTGCCCAAACTCCTGTATGCTTTCTCTTTTTTTCTTTTCTTTTTTCTTTTTTTTTTTTTTTTTTTTTGAGATGGAGTTTTGCTCTTGTTGCCAAGGCTGGAGTGTCACAGTGAAATCTCAGCTCACCACAACCTCTGCCTCCCGGTTCAAGCGATTCTCCTGCCTCAGCCTCCTGAGTAGCTGGGATTACAGGCATGAGCCACCACGCCCAGCTAATTTTTGTATTTTTGGTAAAGACAGGGTTTCTCCATGTTGGCCAGGCTGGTCTCGAATTCCCGACCTCAGGTGATCCCCCTGCCTCAGCCTAACAAAGTACTGGGATTACAGGTGTGAGTCACCACACCTAGCCCCTGCGTGCTTTCTAATCAAGCACACCTCTTCTGCAATCAGGGACCTGAGTGACCACACACTCAGCCCCCAGAACCTCAAGTTAAAGGAGAGGGACTGAGAACAGGGAAGGGGCAGGTCCCCAGTGCAGCCTGAGGCAGGGAAATGGGCACAGGGAGACATGGCTCTCCAGGTGATCCCTCCATCGCTCCAGCAAGCCGGGAAGGAGTCCAGGGCAGCGCCTGGGCCTGAGGTCGGGGAGGTCTTCCCGGAATGTCCATGCCCCTTCCCCACCACCCGAAGCCCTGCCCACGAGGCTGAGCCTCTGGCCGCACCAAGCCAACGACAGGCCTGTAGTAGGCAGCCATGGTGAAGACGATCATGTACAGACAGTAGATGAAGAAGTTGAAGTAGAAGATGCGCTTGACGAATCTGTCCCACTTGTCCTGCAGGAGTCGGTTCAGCGGCTCCACCAAGAGCATGTCGTGGCGATTCTAGAGGGAGCAGAGAGAAGTGAGGTTCCCTCCCGCAGCAGGAGCAGCCTGGCACGCCCACGCCAACCTGTGGTGCTCCCCACAGCCACGTCACCCACACTGTCCACGCAGGGCCGCCCTTGGCCCACAGGGCAGCTGAGGCTCACCGGAGGTCTGAGCCAGCAGCAGCCAGAGCCCGGGGCTGGTCCCAGCACTGCTGCAGCTCAAGGAGGGACCCAGCCTCTTGGTCTCAGTGTCCCCAAAGGCGCAGGGAATGGGGTGAAAGTGACAAGCTCTAAGTGCCCACTGAATGGCCCGCAGCACTGCCCATCAGCCTGTGCCCACGTGTCTAATAACTCACTCCCAAGAGCCCTCCATAATGGGAAGTAGTTGGCTCAGGCGGAGCCTGGCATGGGGGCTGAGGGCAGGCAGGAAAGAGGCTTTGGGTCCAAACTTCTCACATTTCCAGCCCGGGTCAGGCAGGGCAGCAGGGAACTAGGAGGCCCTCCTGCAGGGGGAGGGCACGATGCCAGATGCCATCATTACAAATATGCTTTGGGGCAAATGTCTCATACCCAGAGATTTTGATAAAGTTCATATAGGCCAGGCACAGTGGCCCACGCCTGTAATCCCAGCACTTTGGGAGGCCAAGGCGGGGGGTGGGGATCACCTGAGGTCCGAAGTTAGAGACCAGCCGGGCCAACATGGAGAAATCCCATCTCTACAAAAATATAAAAATTAGCCAGGCATGGTGGTGGGTGCCTGTAATCCCAGCTACTCAGGAGGCTGAGGTGGGAGAATTGCTTGAACCTGGGAGGCAGGGGTTGCAGTAAGCCAAGATCAGGCCATTGCACTCCAGTGTGGGTAACAGAGTGAGACTCCATCTCAAAAAATAAGATAAAATGATAATAATAAAATAAGTTCAGCCGGGCGCAGTGGCTCATTATCTGTAATCCCAGCACTTTGGGAGGTCAAGGTGGACAGATCGCCTGAGGTCAGGAGTTCGAGACCAGCCTGACCAACATGGTGAAACCCCATCTCTATTTAAAAAAAAACAAAATTAGCCCAGCATGGTGATGGGCATCTGTAATCCCAGCTACTTAAGAAGCTGAGGCAGGAGAATCACTTGAACCCGGGAGACAGAGGTTGCAGTGAGCCAAGATAGCGCCGATACACTCTAGCCTGGGCGAGAGCAAAGCCTTGTCTCAAAAAAAAAAAAAAAAAAAAAATCCTACAAGCCCTACCATGAAGTGAAAAAGTTGTATATTCTGTATAGCCTGATCCCATTTATGTGAACAAAATGAAACTACACATTCTGACATAGTATCAGAGGCGGGTCCGTTTTGCGTGGGTACCTCCGCAGCATTTCCATTTCAACGGGATGATCATTGTGTGTGCTTGCTCTGCTTAGGGAAAACTCAGTGGGCGTGAATGGGGACCCAAGGCTGCAGGGCCTGGGCCCGGGCAGTAGTTTTCACTCGTGAGATGCCAGCTGGAGCTGGATGCCAGCAGGGGCTGGGACGGGGCTGGGACTGGGCTGGGACTGGGCTGGGACTGGGCTGGGATTGGGCTGGGACAGGGCTGTTACTGGGCTGGGACTGGGCTGGGATTGGGCTAGGACGGGGCTGGGACTGGGCTGGGACGGAGCTGGGACTGGACTGGGACAGAGCTGGGATTGGGCTGGGACGGAGCTGGGGCTGGGACAGGGACGGGGCTGGGACTGGGATGGGGCTGGGACGGGGCTGGGACGGGGCTGGGACGGGGCTGGGGAGGGGCTGGAACGGGGCTGGGCCTGGGACGGGGCTGGGACAGGGCTGGGGTGCAGAGGCTGACAGGTCCTCCCTGACTTGCCCGGCCACTCACAGGGGTCTCGCTGCTGCTATAGGCGATCACCTCCAGCACCGAGTTCTTCTCACACGTGTCGATGCAGGACAGGTCGTAGAGCGAGGAGTGCACGGGCCCGTAGGCCCACTCGGTGAACTTCCTGGACAGGTGCCTGCACTCGGGCTCCTGGATCTCCCTCTGGAGAATATAGGCCAAGACCTGCCCCCGGGGATCAGGAGCCCGTCAGAGGCCAGCCGGGGCCCAGCCCTACACAGCACCCCAACAACCGCTCTGCTTCCCAGCCCAGCTGGGGGCCCCGCCCAAGCCCCAGGTGAGTCCCCACCCCTTCCTGACCACCACTAAGATCAACCAGCAGGCCAGGCCTGGTGGCTCACGCCTGTCATCCCAGAACTTTGGGAGGCTGAAGTGGGCAGGTCACCTGAGGCCAGGAGTTTGAGACCAGGCTTGCCAACATGATGAAACCCTGTCCCTATTAAAAATACAAAAAATTAGGCAAGCATGGTGGTGGGCGCCTGTAATCCCAGCTACTCAGGAGGCTGAGGCAGAAGAATCACTTGAACCCGGGAGGCGGAGGTTGCAGTGAGCCGATATTGTGCCATTGCACTGCAGCCTGGGCAACAAGAGCGAAACTCCGTCTTAAAAAATAAAAATAAAAAATCAACCAGCCGCTGCCTCAGATGCGACCTGCACTACAGCGGGCCCGGTATCGCCTCAGCACAAGCCTCAGCTCTACCATCTTACCGTGAAGGACATGGTGGTTCCTTCTCAAAAACCTCAAGCCAGAAAGAAATAAAGAGAATGCAAGAAATGAGAGCCAGATGGAGTGGCTTGTGCCTGTAATCCCAGCTACTTGGGAGGCTGAGGTGGGAGGCTCAGTTGAGGCCAGAAGCTGGAGACCAGCGTTGTCACCTAAAGCAGTTCCTGCCTGTCATGGAAAAACACCAACAGCTTTTTCTTCTTTCTTTTTCTTTTTCTTTTTTTTTGAAACAGAGTCTTTCTCTGTCACCCAGACTGGAGTGTAGTGGTACAATCTCAGCTCACTGCAACCTCCGGCTCTTGGGTTCAAGCGAATCTCCTGCCTCAGCCTCCTGAGTAGCTGGTATTACCGGCGTCCGCCACCATACCTGGCTAATTTTTGTATTTTTAGTAGAGATGGGGTTTCACCAGGTTGGTCAGACTGGTCTCGAACTCCTGACCTCAGGTGATCCACCCGCCTTGGCCTCCCAGAGTGCTGGAATTACACGCCTGAGTCACGGCGCCCACCACAACAGCTTTTGTTCTGTCCCACCCTAGACTGTCCCACCTCCATCACTCATCACCCCGCCCCACCGTGTCTTGTTGCTGATACTCAGAGCTGGAAATCCAAAATGGTCACATCAGCCATGCAGGGATCTGTCCAAGGCCTCCAATTTCTCAGACTTACTCTAACAGCCCTGCAGGCTGGTGTGACAGAATCAGAGTCGCACCACAGACAGTGATGCCGGCCTCCGCAGTGAGCCCACAGTCCCTCCCACGCCACCGTCCCCGCTTCGCCGCAGCCTGGGCTGGACCCCTCCTACCCCGATCTTGCCGGTCCCGGCGGCCAGAGCCAGCGGCGTCATCCCCTTCTTGTTGGTGAGCTCCTCCAGCTTCAGAGTGGGGTGCAGCCGGGCCCCCAGGATGAGAAGCTCGTTGTACATGCTCGTCACAAACTTGGTGTTGTCGGCTGTGTTGTCGGCCACCTCCACCAGGGCATGCAGCACCGTGTTGCCCACCGAGTCCCGGGCACTGATGTCGGCCGGCTGCCAGGAGTTCTGCAGCAGGAACTTCACGATGCCCAGCTGGTTGGTGCAGGCGGCCAGGGACAGGGGCAGCTCACCTGCACGAAAGCAGGCCCAGGTGGGCCTCAGGAGGGAGATCCAGCTGGCCCTGAGCCACCCGCCCCAGACTCCCTCTGTCTCTGCCCAAACCTCCCCCTAGCAAAAGCCAAAAAGACAGTGTTGGCCACAGAGTTTCCCTACCGAAGTAGAATCCAGGCCGCCCTTCGGTTTTCTTGAAGAAGTCCCCGTTGGCTGCAGCCTGGACGTCTGCCCCGTTCTCTACCAGGAGGGTCACCAGTGCCATGTTCCGCCTCTCGATGGCGATGTGCAGAGCTGTCTGGCCTGCAGAGGACGCGCACGGTGGGCTTGTGATCGCAGTCCCGCGGGGCTGCCTGGGCAGGGGCTGGGATCTGGGCAGACAGTGTCTGGAGGACCCCCCACTGCAGGAGGCCAGGCCAGGATCCCCCAAGGGGCCCAGCGAGGCCCTGAGGCAGGAGACCCCTGGGAACACGAGATTCCAGTTGGAAGCCAGAGGAGTCAGTGCCCCTGGGGCAAGGAACAGTCACAGAGAGAAAGGCCAGAGGCTGTGACTTCCAAGGACCGGGACCGTCCAGTCAGCGGGGGAGGCAGGGACTTCCCAGGGCCAAGGGAGGAGACATCAGATGGGGGAGGCAGGGATCCCCTAGGATTCGGAGCCACCAACGCAGTGGCTGGGACAGGGAGTAAGGAACCCTGGGGAGCCGGCAGGCCCAGGCACAGCCATGCCCTCCTGGCTCCCTGTGTGCCGGACTGAGCTGTGCCCGGCCCGCTGCCTCCTCACCCCTGTAGTAGCTGTCGGTGTAGCTGGCGTTGACGAACTCCTTCAGGCTGTCCGTCTGCCTCGCGATCTCCAGGAGCAGGGGGATGGTGTCGTTCTGCCCGCTGTGAAGGTTGAGCATGGCCTTCAGCAGACAGGTCTTCCCTGTCTCCGGGTCTGAAAGACAGAGAGAGGATGGGTCAGGCCGGCCGGGGCTGGGCCCCCCCCACCCCGGAGCCTGCGCCGGGGCCACCTTTGAACTCGCTGTCTGTGAGGTGCTTCTTGCTCTTCTGCAGGAACAGCAGCAGGCTCTCCAGCTCCTGGCAGTTGTTCTGAGCCACGGCTTCGAAGATGCTCCTGCGATCATAGAGCCTGAGGGTCTTCTCAGTGCCGGTGGTGACAGAGTCCTGGGACGGCTGCCTACAGGTCAGAAAACACCCCAGTCTCATAGCCTGGTCTCTGCTCGGCCCTCAGGCCTTCGGAGCTTGTCAAGGACATACGGGTCACCCCAAGGGAAACTAAAAGGGGGAAAAATGACATAAAAGCTACCCCTCTGGCTGGGCGCACTGGCTCACACCTGTAATCCCAGCACTTTGGGAGGTTGAGGTGGGTGGATCACTAGGTCAGGAGTTCGAGACCAGCCTGGCCAACATGGTGAAACCTCATCTCTACTAAAAATGCAGAAATTAGCCGGGCATGGCAGTGCAGGCCTGTAATCCCAGCTACTCGGAGACTGAGGCAGGAGAATCACTTGAAACCGGGAGGCAGAGGTTGCAGTGAGCCAAGACTGTGCCATTGCATTCCAGCCTGAGCAGCAGAGCATGACTCTGTCTCAAAAAATAGAAATAAAATCAAAAATAAAAGCCACCCCTCCATCTAGATGACTGTCCAGAAAACCAATATAACAGGGACAGTGGGGCACGTGTGTCCCCATTCTGCCCCCACCCTGTCTATAGACACCATCTAGAAAGTCATCCTCCTACTCCTAGACCACTGGCTTCTCCACCTGCCCAGGCCCTCAGGAGGCAGGAGCCTGGTGGGGACGGGGGCAGCTGGCGGCAGGGGTACAGACGGCCCCTGCTGAGAGAAAAGGTGGCTTCACACTCCCCGGAAGTCAGCCAGCCTATGGCCTCCCTGCCCTGCCTTGGAGCTCACTGGAGCTGTTCTGTACTCTCTAAACAGCTTTTAGACTTCGAGTCCAAGTGTTTGTGGCTGGTAGGGACTGCAGCCGTGGACACCTAGACTCAGCACACCAGCCCCATGACTGTGCATCCCGTGAGGTCCCACAAGGAAGGACGCTGGACCAGACCACCTCTAAGGCTCTCCAGCCCCCTGGCTTTGTGACATTTAGCCCAGAAGCCAGACCACCCTGTGGCATCTCTATGGCCAGTGGGGCTCCTGGCAGGGAGGGGTCTCCAGACGCAGACTTACCTAGCACAGGTGGGGCCGTCGCCGGGCCTCTGGATGGTGATGACAGGGCTGACTGTGATGGTGGGGCAGGAGGCCAGCTCACCTTCCTCGTGGGGGCAACCCGCCGGGAAAGCCTCCTCTGAGTCGCCCTTCCCAAAGAGCCAGGCGCGGCTCCTGGCCGTGGAGAGGTGGGGCTTGGTTGGAGGTGGCCCGGGGTCGGGGTCTCCATCCGGGGGATCTGGGCAGGCGTCCTGCTGGAGTGGGGCCGCGGCCGCCCCTGAGTCTGTGCTGCTCTGTTTCTTCATCCTTGCAGGATCCTCTGCCGCCCAGTGCGCAGCCTGCAGGCAGCCAGCACGCCAGGGTTGGTCCCAGCTTGAGGACTGCTGGAACTTAGACCCCATCTGCCCTCCTTGCCGAGGGTCCTGTGAAGCAGGGTCCCCCAAAACTCCAACTGGCTGCTGCCGCCAACCCCCTAGAACTGAAGTGTTGTCAGGACTGAACCTCTCACCCCAGAGGCCCCAGAGGTGAGCAGGCTAACAGGGCCCAGGCAAGTCCCGTGGCCACGGACGTCGGCCGTGAAGGGGGCACAGGCCCCGGCTCGGAGCCGTCTGTGGTTCTCGGTTAGACCCATCCCTCCTCCTCTCAGGGCCCCAGGTGCCCACTCTGCAGAGTGAGGTTGATAACCACCGCGCCACCTCCCTCCCCAGACAGAGCAAGGGAAACAGCCAGGGTGGCCGTCGCTGGCTATTCAGGGAGGCTCTCAGTGATGACACGCCCAAACGGCAAAGCTGCCTGTGTGCCTGGAACACGGTGAGCAGCAGAGACTGGCACACCCACGCTGCATCATGGGCCTGCGGTGCCACGGCTGCACACACTGCACTGCCTGCCCCGTGGTGGCACAGCTGCACACACTGCACTGGGCACTGTGGTGCCATGGCTGCACACACTGCACTGCCTGCCCTCTGGTGCCACGGCTGCACACACTGCACTGGGCACTGTGGTGCCACGGCTGCACACACTGCACTGGGGCCTGCAGTGCCACAGCTGCACATACTGCACTGAGGCCTGTCCTGTGGTGCCATGGCTGCACACACTGCACTGGGGCCTGTGGTGCCATGGCTGCACACACTGCACTGGGCCGTGCGGTGCCACGGCTGCCCACACTGCACTGGGGCCTGCCCTGCGGTGCCACAGCTGCACATACTGCATTGCCTGCCCTGTGGTGCCACGGCTGCACGCACTGCGCTGCCTGTCCTGTGGTGCCATGGCTGCACGCACTGCACTGGGGCCTGTGGTGTCACAGCTGCACACACTGCACTGGGGCCTGCGGTACCACGGCTCCACACACTGGCAGCCAGGGGCCTGGCTCGCCTCTGCTCTTCAACCTGGTGGCCGCAGCCACTAAGCTTATACAAAATTTTGGATTTCGTGTTTTTTGTCATTTTCATGAATCTGTATGTGTCAAGTATCCTGGCCTTGAAAGTTTAGGCTTTTTTTTTTTTTGAGACAGCATCTCTCCCTGCTGCCCAGGCTGGAGTGCAATGGGGGATCTCGGCTCACTGCACTCCGCCTCCCAGGTTCAAGTGACTGTCATGCCTCAGCCTCCCGAGTAGCTGGGATGACAGGCATGGGCCACCATGCTGGGCTCATTTTTGTATTTTGAGTAGAGATGGCCACACTTAGGCTTTTGGAGCTGGTGGGTCCTCCAGGCCTGAACACCTGGAGATGAGCGGGCAGCAGCACGTGTCATTGGTCACGTGAGCGGATGCGAGTTCCCACTCTCGTCCTGGCCCTGTTCCCCATCCCAGCCCCATTCCCAGGCTCCCTCTCGCTGTGGCTGGGCATCCCCACTCCCCAGCACCCAGGGCTGGCCCACACATTCCTCCCGTAGCCTCTGCTCCCCTCAGGTCTCCACCTAAGGCCTTTTTCCTCCTTCTGCCCTTTCGCAAATCCTACCACCTCTCAGACGCTGCTTCCCCTTAGGATCCAGCACTGATGCCGCCTCCCCTGTGAAGCCCCCACATCCCTGCCCTGGTCACGCTTCCCGCCGTCCTCCACAGAGTGGCCTGGCCCACTGACCGTCCATCCCACACAGCCCACCATGTGGCCTAGCAATGGCTGTCTGTCACTGCTATATTTCTCCATCTCTCCCGTGCCTGTGACCTCCTCCGGGGCAGGGACCTTGTCTGATCCATCTAAGAAGAAGCTGTACTGGGCCGGGCATGGTGGCTCACACCTGTAATCCCAGCACTTTGGGAGGCCAAGGCCTGTGGATCACCTGAGATCAGGAGTTCAAGACCAGTCTGGCCAATATGGTGAAACCACCATCTCTACTAAAAATACAAAATTACCCAGGCGTGCTGGTGGGCACCTGTAATCCCAGCTACTTGGGAGGGCAGGAGAATCGCTTGAACCCAGGAGGCAGAGGTTGCAGTGAGCCGAGATGGCGCCACTGCACTCCAGCCTGGGCAACAGAGTGAGACTTCTTCTGAAAAAAAAAAAAAAAAAAAAGCTTCGCTGGGTGCTGGGCATGAGGGGGAAATGAGAGCGATCAGACCCTTCTAATCCCCATTTCCTTAGGAAGTCAGGGAGACTGATGCTCTGGCAGTGGCTAGATTCCGGAAAACAGCTGCAGAAGGGACGAGAGGCTTCTCCAGTCCTGCATTTGCTTTTTTAAAAAATATATAATCAGGCAGCCTCCCCCACCCCCCGCCCCCAAGGCCAGAATAGCTCAGAGAGACTCCCAAGTGAAAATCCAGGCAGCCAAACTGCAGAGCTCACGGCTGGGCCACGGCCATCAACCAGCTAGGTTCTCAAGCCAGGTCTGTGAAAAAACAGAGGCAGCCTCAGCACGGCGCAGGCTGTGAACAGGACCAGCGCCGGCTGCCGGCCAGCTCCTGCCTGCCTGTTGATCCACTCTCAACGGGCCTGCGTCTGGCTCTGATTCACCCATCAGGCGGATACCCTGCAGCAGGAAGTGACCCGGCCACAGAAAGCCGCTTCCCTCATCCCATCACTCAACACCCATCTACTGAGTCCTCCCCCTCGGAGTCCAGCCCTGTGCTGGGGGCACAGAGAGGAGTCAGCCCCTGCTGAGACAGAAACCTGCTCCTGGCCGGCAGAGGGACTGCCAGGAGGAGTCGGGGGCAGGGTGGTAGGGAGGGCTCCACGGAGTTGGTGACAGATGAGCTGAGCCCGTGGGAGAGAAGCAGGAACTCTAGAGCAGCTGAAGAAGGGGCAGTCATGGACAGGAAGAGAGGCGCAGGGTTGGAACCTGATGGCCGTGAGTCTTGAACTCCAAGGACCCGAAAGCCGACGCGGTTGCGTGGACGGCGGGAAGCCCTGCGTAGCTCTGGGAGCCTGGGGGCTGGGTGCTAGTCTGTGCTTTCTGAAGATAACGCCCTAGCAAGGACCTTTCACAGCACGGGGAGCCTGGCAGCGCTTAAAAGGCTCCAGAAGCAAATAAGCATCAGAATAATGGATGCGTTTGAGCACGTGCTATGCGCAAAGTAAACGCGGTTCAAAGCACTCGTATTCCTTCACTCGCTCAATTCCCACAACATGCGCCAGAGGGAAATATTTCACAGATGAGGGAACTGAGGCACGGGGCAGTTATGTCACGTCCCCGAGGTCACGCAGAGGCGGAACCCGGCCTTGATCCCAGGCAGGCTGGCTCCAGAGCAAATCCAATACTCTACCTCTGTGCTGGAGGTCTGGGCTCTTTCTCAGCTGTTAAACTCAGACCCAGACCCCGCAGCAGGGCCTCGGGGGGACAATCAGAAGAGGCCCTGTCACCCCTGGGGCCAGGCATAAGACCTGAACCTGAAGCACCCCAAAATGCAGTGTGACTAAGACCCAGGCCATACCCACGCCTGGCTGTCCCAGAGATGCCTGTGGTCTCTGAGAATAAGCCAGTCCCCAACACACAGCCCTAGCAGCCAGCAAGGGAGCACCTGTGACTCGGAGCCTCCGTGAACAGTGCTGCCTCTTCCTCCGACGGGTCCCAGTCCCACCAAACCCAGCCGACGGAAGCAGCCGGATTGTGCTATCATTCAGACACTCGACAGATGCCGACTCTATGCGGCACACTTTGCCCCCGATTCCCTCCTGGAAACTGAGCTTCTTCCAGGGAACCGGGAGGGACAGGAATCAAGGGGCCATGTGCCCTGGGCTGGGCGGGGGAGCAGGGGCAGGACAGTCCTCCACTGCCAGGCCTAAACTGTACCCTGCACCTGAGCCCCTGGTGATGCACCTGTCCCCGCAAAACATTCTACAGTGGTCAGGGAACTTCGGCCGTGATTTGGGCAAACGAGTGTCGGCTGTGCGACAGAGACGGTGATTCTGGTTTACACAAGACTCACAAACTCATCAATCTGGACTGAAGGACAATCCTAGCAAAATCGATGCTGCCCACGGAGACCTGGTTTGATCTCTGAGTCTTTCTCAACTCCAAAGCCAGAACGGACACTGTCCACCATCTGGGGGAAGGATCTCTTCTCTCCCCAGTGCAGGGGAGACAATGTGGGGTGTGGCTCCCTCACTCCCCTCTCTGCCCAAAGCATCCATCCCTAACAAGCAGCCCACCAAGTTCCTGGGAGCACCTCCTGCTCACCACTGAGGACTTTCTGAAAGCTGGGACAACACTGGCCCAGGGCCCAGCCCGGGTTCTTCTCAAGAGTCCCTTCTCTCCAAAGGTGGCGGTGGGCTGCGGGCTTCCCAACCCAGGGGGAGGAACAAAGAGAGACGAGAGAAGCCCCAGAACCCAGGACGGCTGCTTCCCAGCCCTGTGCTCATGCACTCCACCGAGAAAGCCTCCAGCCACACGCCAGCAACCTCAGCAGCAAGGCTACAAGAAGAAGAAGTCGTGGTGACAGCCGCGTCTACCCACTCCCAGGTGCTCACGAGGAGCTAGGCGGAGCGCACCACAGCCTCACTTCAGCCTCACAGCCACCTTGCGGGCAGCCCTGTCGCCATCCCCGTTTTCAGACAGGGTAACCGCGGCACAGAGGGGCAAGTTGAGTTGCCCATAGCCACACAGCTAGAAAGTGGCAGCTTTTGGCCACTGTCACTACGCCATCCTCACAGCTAACGTCTACCTGGGCCATCACACAAAGAAACAGACTCACCAGCTAGACGCAGGCACACCCCAGACTCACGGGTGCTCGTGGGCTCAAAGGCGGTTGCTACGCGAAGGGAGAGCGGGGCTAGCGTGGGAGAAGAGTGGCCTCCCTGCGTCCGTGAGGGTCCCGGGCCCTGCCCCGGCAGCTGCTGCCCTGCTCTGGCAGGAGTGGGCTGTGGGCACACTTTGGCACTCAAGGAAAAAGGCTTCCAGCGATGCGAGCAGCTGCCTTTGCTGCGGCTCCGATTCCCAGAGGATCCCAAAGCTTTTCCCATCATTTTTGCCCTTTTTCAGAAACCACTTAGACGCTGCCCCTCCTCCAGGCGTGCCAGGGCTGGAGAGCACTTACCAGAGCCAGCCAGAGCTGCAACCTCTGCTCTCAGGGAAGAGAGGGCGCTGCTCGGCCTCCCAAGCCCGTGGCTCCTGCGCTCAGAGCTCCACAAATGCACGTTCACAGTTGGTGACAGCCAAAGCAGCGTCCTGCAACTGTCCTGTGTTCAAAATGAAGGAGTGGACGGTCCTGCCGTCCATCACCCAGCGCTGGCTTTGAGACTCTGCACAACCTTGAACCCGTCCCTGACTCTCTTAGGCCTCTCGTTCCCGGCTGCCCAAACCTGGAGTAGGGGTTGGGGGCGAGGGGGGCTTCTGGGTCAGCCAGGTCCCAGCCTTTCCCAATGGGGGTTTCTTCAGGGAACCACAGAA